CGCTTTGTTTCCAAGCTCGAATCGCCGGCGATAGACACCTCGCTCTGGCAGCTACTTCCACTGTATACGGAGCTGCTAATTTTTTCTGTCTTTTGAACGAAGATTTCTATCATTCTAGCCAAGCATTATGATTAACGAATGGTGTGAATATTTGTACCGGTCGTTGTAACGAAATCTCACAACTACATGTTCATTCTCCCCAAACAGAGCCTCTTCACATAGATGATTTGGAAGATACGCTGAATGACAACATACGGTATCATCCCTCGTTTCCTGGGTGGCTCTGATGACAACATACGGTATCATCCCTCGTTTCGACGGTCAGGATCGACGGTCGTAGGGAAGCGAAGAGTGGGGCCAGGTACGGTGGATGAAACACCTCCAGGTTGAGATCGGTGGGGAAAGTTCTCCTGAAGTTGTCCATCTCGTGTAGGTTGCTCTCGCCTACCAATACTCTGCCATCTGGCACAAGAACAACGGATGAGTGGTACATTCTTGGAATGCCGGCTGGCTTCAGCACCACGATTCTCCGTTCTGGGTTGGATTCATAGGTTCAGTACAAGACCGGGTTGAAAACTGGATTTTTCGCGTTCTCCCATTCTGCCGTCCCGTTCAATGCGCCGTTGATTATGAGGACGTCACCCGTGGGCAAAAGTAGCATACCGGACATGACACGGGGCATGGGCATTTTCTCCATGACCCATTTAGGATCGGGGTCGGTTTATTTGATCCGGCCGTAGCTAAAACCCGAAAAGATATTGATCTTTCCATTTCTCTTTTTCTTCTTGCTCTGAGACGGGGTTCTCAGCGAAGTACTCGGAGTTCCTGCCTGCTCTTTGGTTGCAAACTCACCGTGCTCAGCTCCCTCAATATCTTTTGCCATGGCTTCTGTGACTAATTAAACAGCTTTTGGCTTTTGGCTTTTGACTAGTAAGGAACGAGAGGGAAGTTGTTTGGGTTTGTGAGTGTGGATTCTAGAACTTGGTGGAAATATGGGACTGAAGCTGGAGCTTGAGGGACAGAGACGACAGACGTCTGCCCTATAGTCACCTTCGGCGATTTGGAGACGACAGCCGTCCGATTTTCTCATTTCGAAACAGCCCAAATTGCGGGAATAAAGGATGGTATGGAGGGAAAGGTTGCGTCGGTTTGTGGAGATCTGGAGGTTACCCAATAGTCAAAGCTGTCAGTGCCGTTCCGCTGGCGGGTCGGATCCGGGTCTAGATCTGATGACTGCATATCGGAAAAGCTTGCCTGAACGGTCCCAGCTTTTGATGTCTGTAGTGACTCTGCCAACAACCCCGACAAGCACTGATTCTGCCAACAAAAGCTTTTGATGATCTGACGACTGCATCCTTCAGCTTTTGATGTTTTGCGTTGGGGCGGTTTTCTATCCTCTTCCCATATTTATATAGGTTTTCTTCTTTAGTTTGTAGGAAAAGCTAGAATAAATTGATGGAAATCTGACTCCACCAGCGTTCAAATTCCTCTGCTTTCTCTCTTTGCCTGTTGGGTTTCAAGTTTGGCTATAGAGAGGGGAAAAGAGGGAGAGAGAGAGACAAAATAAGGTTTTCTAGAAAAGCCCCAGGAGGGAGATTCTGGGTTCTTGTGATTTTGCAGATTCACGATAAAGGTGAACAATTGAGAGAGAACCGACATAACTTTTTGTATCGATTCCCACAGACGGCGCCAAATGTTGATGCACAAAACCGAAGTGGTCTTGGAACAACGTAAATCCGACCGTGAATCTGCAAGAACACGAAGAACACAAAGAACACAAGGATTTTATCGTGGTTCACCCCAATGTTTGGGCTACGTCCACACTGTAGTTGATTCTGTTTCTCTGTAATTGTATGGATACAAGTGTTTGAGGGGAAGTCCCCCAGAGAGAGAAGAGAAGGGAGAGGAGAGCCTCGGTGGTGTGAGGTCTCTCCTGAATGTAATGAGAGCTTCTCTTAGCCTTCTTAGGCTTGGCTCTTTTGCCTCCCTTAGAATGAGGGAAGGAGTCCCCTTTTATAGAATAAGGGGCTCCTCCTCTTTTACAAAGTATGGGCTTTAGTGTGAGGCCCAAATACAAGGCCCAAGGCCCAAATATACGAGGCCCTAAATATGGTATAAACACATTTCATAGTTGCATATATATATATATATATATATAAATGTGGTGTTGTGGAGGCACAGGTAAGTTCAGGTAAGTTATGTTTGATTATGTGAACTACGAATGACTTGATCCCTATTCAGGGTACCTAGGTAGTCTAACGATACGTTAGATGCAGTCAGACAATAGTTGAGGCAAAGGCCTTAGTTGTGAATAAAATGATTATAAATGCATTGATGAACATTGAGGTCATAACCTGCACCAGGGTGATTGCGATTTAGCCAGAGAGAGAGTTGGCATAGGCCTGTATATTATGTCACCTCCCGTACCATATGCTCACATGGGATCCAATTAGGTGAACAGTCTTGTCGTACAAACCACTATAGGTGGTTCCGACTCGTAAGTGACTAACGTATTATCGCACAGCTAGCATTGAGAGAGTAAAATTGAGCATAATTATATTACACCCAATCTTGTCGTACATACCCTTTTTTAGTGGTTCCGACTTATGTGCAGAATAATGCCGTATAGGTCATAGTAGTGACTCCGGCTAGATTGAGTTTGGGCTATGAATTCAGCCGTACAGACTACCACAGGAGTTCTGGCTAACATATCGTATTTCCATGAAATCATTCTTACCTGAACTGTTTACTTTGTTATATTTTGGCATGGCATACATATGAATATGATTATGTGAAGCATGAATTGACTTGATATGATTTTAGATATATTTTTGTATATACTTATATCTTGATTCTGGAAAAATCTTATATGTTTTATAGCGAGGGGTTAGTATGTTGATAAATGAAATGATTTTGTAAAACATTTGTTTTTGCCCACTCACGTTTTCTGTTTTGCGCCCCTCCAGGTTTTAAGTAAGTTGTTGTTGGTGGCTCGAGGACGTCGACTATTCTGACTATTCTATATTATAGTAGGACATTCCTGGTACTATGTAACTAGTACTTGTCCTACTGGACTGCACCTAGACTTATTATGCTCTGACTAGGAGTGTTACTGTTGTACTTAACTCCTATCACTTTCTGTTTAGAAGTGCACTCTAGTAATGTGGTTTTTAATTATTCGTATAATTGCTATCTTTATTGCTTCTGCACTGTGCACATGGCTATGTCTGTCTCACGTGATGGCCAGCATGCCTTGGCCTCGGTCGGGGTGTGTCATGAATACTTCGCTAAAGTTTTAGAGTTTGTCACTTCAAGCATTTATATGTTCTTTTCTACATTTTTCACACTTGTAAATTAATTATTATGAATATTTATTAATTTTGGACTCTAAAATAAAAACACTATTCATGAGGGTTTGAAGGGTTTTAAAAATCCAAATGACGATGTACTTATCGTTTAAGCGTATAGAATGCAATCACGAGCGTTTGTATTTTTTTTTTCACACTTTTCACACACACACACACACACACACATATATATATATATATATATATATTAATTATTATAAATATTTATTTATTTTGACCATATGTGGATGAGTTTAATCCATAGCGCTCATAGGTTTGAAATACAAATCATGTAATAATTTTTATCAGCCATTTAGTACTACCGTCTAGTTGTATTTCTCTTCACTTGTAAGTGAGAGGTTTTGGGTTCGATTATAGCCAAAGAAGAAATTGAATTACATTATTGTTAGTCTATCGTGAGACTTAGCTTACTTACTCTCCCACCCCATAATATAGATGATAGCGTTTGTTAAAAAAAAATGACTAAATTTTTACCATATGCGTATGGGTCGGTTCTTGACCGGTTTGTATTTGATAAGCCCACATTATGACTCCATTTCATGGGTGGGCGGTTATGACATGGATTGCTAAGAAACTTGGGTAAAAACGATCCAAACCACCTAAAGCGGATTGGGTTGGATGGCTTGGTCGGTTGAATCCAAAATATGCCCACCCTTCGGCCACTACCACCTCAACAATTTCTGTCACCACCTCTCAATCACTATTTTTATTACCACCATCACTCCCACCACCTTTAATTGCTCCTCCTATCTGTTGCCACCACCCATACCCCAGCACCACTATCGCCACCAACCCAATTACATTATCATCACCCCTTATCAACCGCTATTGAAAATACCATCTCCACCGCAATTTTCACATTGTTAAAATTTATATTAGTAATGTTTTTTTTATTTTTTTTAATAAACGATAGTATCTACATTAAGAGCAACTCCATCATTGCTTATTGCCTTGAGAATAGGCAACTCAATCCACTTATTCCTCCTCAAAACACTCCAGCCCACTTGGGCAATTTGGTCAAGGCGAGCCCGATGGAGAAGTTAGGCAATAATCGTCTGGTCTAGCATCCTACATGTAACGCAAGGCTGAAGGCATCATGACGTCAATCACAATTTAACCATTAAAATTATAATTTATAAATAAAAAAACTAATTAAAAAAATGAAAAAACTATAGTTTTTTTTTATAAATAACTAACCATGTTCTTCCACATTATACTGCGTTTATTGTTATATGAAATTAAAAATAAAGTTATCTTTTATTATTTTATAAAAATAAAAAAAAAAATATTTTAATACAAATTGCCTGAGCTTTTCACTTGGGCAAGTAGAGTGTTCATTATATGCAATTACTTTTCATTTAAAGGGATTGAATTGCCTATTGTCCAGGGGGCTTACTACATTGGAAGTGCTCTAAGCGTATGGGGGGAGTGTTAAGCCTTACAATGGGTTTGCCATAATAATGTTATTTAACTTTACTTTTGACGATAATTAAACCTAATAGCTATTACTTACTAGTGAAGAGGAATACTAGTAAACAAACAAATTGTCGTTTTCGTTTTACAAAACAGTTGTTTAAAAATTATTTTGTAAAGTGTTGCTAAACAAGTTTACAACTAGATTAGTCATGTTATAACACTAGAGCACAAGAGTCACAGCATTTGAATGAGTTGACATCATCCTCTATCTCCCAATTCTGGTAAATTCGTATACTTGTTGTCGGTGTATTATTATGAGAAACTTTGCACTTCACCACTACCTAAGTAGGCGACGAAATTCTCACAAAACCCTCAACGCATCCACTTTAGCAGCATTACCAGTACCTCCTCCTCCTCCTCCTCCTCCTCCTCCTCCTCCTCCTACCTTTCCAATTCGAACCAAAAGGCGCGCTTTACTCGACCTCTTACAACCACGCGACCACTCCGACAAACCCATTTTCTACTACAACGCAATTCATGCCCAGATTCTCCTCTCCGGCTTTCGAGACGATGTTTTTCTTGCTAATCTTCTCTTGCACTCCTATGCCAAATCTGGCTCTGTTATTTACGCGCGGAAACTGTTTGATAAAATGCCTGAAAGGAACTCGGTTACTTGGTCTTCCATGGTTTCTATGTATACCAAGCATGGTAATTATGAACAAGCATTGCTTATGTTTTCGGACTTCTGCAGGAATTCCGATGGGCACCCGAATGAGTATACGTTGGCCAGTGTTATCCGCGCTTGTACGCAGTTGGGAGGGATTGATCAAGGTGCCCAAGTGCATGGTTTTGTTGTCAAGACTGGTTTTTATCAGGATGTTTATGTGGCTACTTCTTTAGTCGATTTTTACGTCAAAAATGGCCATATAGATGAAGCTGACCTGATTTTTGAGGGTTTGAACGTGAAAAGTGCAGTTACTTGGACCATAATGATAGCAGGGTATGCAAAATGTGGAGAAAGTGAAGTGTCCTTGAAATTGTTTTACCAAATGAGAGACACCGATGTTCTTCCTGACAAATATGTTCTGTCTAGTGTCCTGACTGCATGTTCTGCGCTCAAATTCATTGGAGGCGGCAAGCAAATCCATGCTTATGTGCTTAGAAGGGGAACCGTAATGGACGTTTCAGTGGTTAATGTGCTTGTAGATTTTTATACCAAGTGCGGTGAAGTGGAGGCAGCAAAGAAGTTATTCGATATGATTGTAGTCAAGGACCTCATTTCGTGGACCACGATGATAGCCGGGTACATGCAGAATTCATTTGAGCGGGAGGCTGTTAAGTTATTTTCTGAAATGGCCGGATTGGGTTGGAAGCCGGATGGATTTGCATGCAGTAGCATTCTTACTTCGTGTGGTTCACTTGACGCTCTTAATCAGGGGAGAGAAGTCCATGCGTATGCTATTAGAGTCCATCTTGTTTATGAAGCTTATGTGAAGAATAGTTTGATTGATATGTATGCAAAATGTGATTCCCTTACTGATGCAAGAAGAGTATTTGATTCAATGACTGATCATAATGTTGTGTCTTACAATACGATGATCGAAGGATACTCAAGACAGGATAAGCTGTCTGAAGCGCTGCATCTTTTCAATGAGCTTAGACTTAGATCGTTCCAGCCGAGTCTCTTGACGTTCGTCAGCCTTCTTGGTATCTCAGCTGCTTTATTCACGTTGCAGTTGAGCAAGCAAATCCATGGTTTGATCACCAAATATGGGTACTGTTTGGATGTATTTTCTGGCAGTGGTCTGATAGATGTTTATTCAAAGTGCTCAGGTATTAGAGATGCTAGACTTGTATTCGATGAGATGTATGAGAAAGACATTGTAGTGTGGAATGCGATGTTTTGCGGATACACGCAACAGATGGAAAGTGAAGAGGCTCTTAGACTGTACACAGAATTACAATTATCGAGACAAAATCCTAATGAATTTACTTTTGCAGCCCTAATCTCAGCAGCCAGTAACCTGGCAAGTATGCAGCATGGCCAACAGTTCCATAACCAGCTCATTAAGATGGGTCTTGACAGTGATCTGTTCGTCACAAATGCCCTTGTGGATATGTATTCCAAGTGTGGAAGCATTGAAGAGGCTTGCAAAATATTTAATTCAAAAGTTTGGAGTGACGTTGCCTGTTGGAATTCCATAATATCAACATATGCTCAACATGGAGAAGCAGAAGAAGCCCTTCTGATGTTTGCAAGAATGATGAAGGAGGGAATAAAACCCAACTATATCACATTTGTGGGTGTGTTATCAGCTTGTAGCCATGCTGGCCTTGTGGAAGATGGACTTCGCCACTTTGAATCAATGCCTCAGTTTGGGATTGATCCAGGAACTGAACATTATGCTTGCATAGTGACTCTCCTCGGTCGTGCTGGCAAATTATTTGAAGCTAAGGAATTCATTGAGAAAATGCCGGTAAAACCAGCAGCAATTGTATGGAGGAGCTTGCTCAGCGCGTGCACTGCTGCCGGTAATGTTGAATTGGGAACATATGCAGCAGAGATGGCAATTTGGAATGATCCAGTGGATAGTGGATCATATATCTTACTTTCAAATATTTATGCATCCAGAGGTATGTGGGCTGATGTCAAGGCGGTGAGGGAAAAAATGGACAATGATGGGGTGGTGAAAGAAACCGGCTGTAGTTGGGTTGAAGTGAATAATGAAGTTCATACATTTGCTGCAAGAGATAGAACACATCGTGAGGCAGATCTAATTTTTTCAATTCTAGACAATTTGATTCTGCAGATTAAGGGTGTTGGTTATGTGCCTGATATTACGACACTTGTGATGAATGACTGAGATGAGACATGGTGTGGTAATGCTCAGTGAAACGGACATTATGAGCTCTTGATAAACCATGAAATGAAAATTTGCACTGTGCATCTTTTTGAAGTGAAGCTTGAGCTTGACGGGAGCAAATCTTGGGCTCCTTCTGATTGGCTAGTTTATCAGAATGTGAAAAGCAGAAATTTCCTTGCGATGCCATTTTGATGAAACGGAGCTGTCCTTGGTCAATTTTTGCAGTGATTGCATCTTGCTTTACAGATGTGTCTCCCATATCTTGCATAACAGACTGGCTGGAAATTACTGCAACAAGGTTACTGTTGATATTCCATTTACAAGTGATGCTTCCTGGATTGTGTATACAAATGACGTTATATCTATATGAATATTTTTATTTTCAGACTCATTGACTTCACTCTTGGTTTACATATTTTTGTGATGTCAATTTCTCCTGTTGTGATTTCCGATACCTTACTTTGCAAAACTTCAAAGCATCTGATTGCAACTTTATTCTCCTCAGGAAAACTTCATCCACTAAGGTGAATGATATTGCTTCAAGAATTGCAGAAAATGTTAGAGCGGCCGTGGAAGCTACTAATTCCCTGCAGCAGGAAGTAAAACCCTTTTTTAATTACAGTAAGCAAAATTCAAAATGAAGGTGGCTTCTAAAACCCATCCCAAGAGATCCCTCAGATGCTTCAGTTTCTTATATTTTGAATTCTCTTGGGTGTCCATATACATTTGATTCCCAGGGCCTTATGTCTAAAGGGGAATGCAGAACTTGGTGAAAGTATGAATGTTTCAAGTGATTCTGAGGAAGGGTCTGCTTTGCTGTCCAAGATGGTTGCAGTTGTTTGCGAGTAACACTTGTTCTGCCCTTGTTTAGGGCATTTGGAAGGTTCCTTCCTTCATGTTCTCTCTTACCTTTCATTCGTGCTCGCGAGGTTTGTGGATAAAATTAAAACCCATAATCCCTTCATCTGTGATAAATTTTAATTTGAAGAGAGTTCGTCCTATAAATATTTTATTTCACAGGAATTTTGAACGTCCTTTGCCTTTAAGGATGTGTAATTGCTGGTACTTGAGACTTTACATTGTCAGATGCAATGTGCTGCTCCAAAAGCTGCTCGTATGTGTGGACAGTTCATATCTGGCGCAGCTAGAATTGGCATATGGTTTTGCATTGTTTATGTTAGAATTTGTTGGTTTATAGTTAAGCTGTGCGGTGACAAATTTTCACGTTCTAATACTCTTTCTCGTACTTGTTCATAGATTAACTAACTAATTCATGTGCTATTACCAATAGTGAAGGATTTTTCTCGTCTTTCTTACCGTCTTTTATAGGGAGGAGATTCGTTCAATAGTATGCTTCATTGATTCGCAAAGTTTTTAACATTGTTCAATTGGATTTCCTGTTGGTTTTGGTAAATGAATGAATGGGCATGCCAACAGAAAATTTTCTCCTTTTTTCTCACACCGCAGGTATTTTCACAACTACGCCTATCTGAAGCCTCAGCGCATTCGGGTTCGTTTTCTACCAGGATTAAGGAAGAAGCAACCCGCTTGCAGGCAAACGCTGGATCACAAGTCCCGTTTAATAAGCTGGTCAAGCACATTATTGCAGGGAACTTGATCTGAAGAATTTTGCTTATCTGGGAGATGAGGTTCAAACTTACTGCACAAATAGTTCGTGCTGATGGTCAAGATGACATCTGCTTTCGGTCATGTATTCAGAGAGATGGGCTCATTCCTAACCACACATATATTCCCCCAACTTAACCACCTATTGCTATGTGTTGCGTTTTTATCACAAAAATCTCGGTGTTGTAGGAGTAGAATCATACACATATATTGTATTTTATTTTCTCAATTGCCCGATGGGAACTTACATTCAACACACCCCTCACGTGGGACCATCACTCAGTGGGCAACACTTGCAACCAATCCCACATCAGACTTTAAGCGTAGAAACGTGGTGTTACATTAAAATTAGTAACTTGGGCACAACATGGACCCACAAGACAATCGAACCCGCTCTGATATCATGTCAGATATCCAGAGAGACGAGCTATTGGCTCAATCTGAAATTGGTACTAGGCGGAATATTCTGCAAAAATCAAAGTTAAATGTTGCACAGTAAACTAGTAAGATGAAATAGTCAACAAGATACGAGTTTGTCAGATATGAAAATCATAGTTCCAAGAAATAAATTTGATTGACTAGTATGTACCATTGTACAACCTTATATTTCACTTAGCTGGAGTAGTCTTCAGCCTTTACAACAAACAGTTAAAGGAGGAAACTAAATGAGAATCCAAAGTAAGGTCTAAATGAAGAATTGAAACTAAGATCCAGACTATGAGCAATGTAAACCTTTTCCAGGAATGATGTCAGTGAGTTAGCACAAGACTTAATGTATGAAAAAAGGTGTATGCAGCTAGGGTTTTAGAAGAACAAAGAGAGGCTCGGGGAGCCCAAAACAAATGAGCTTCTAAGAAGATGTAAGCAAGTATTTTCAGGGATAGTTTTATAAATATTGTATGACAACTTTACGTAGAAAATGCTTGATGCTTCTAGGAGATTTGAGTTGGAGAGGAAAAACAAAGACACTCCCTTTTTGAAGATGGATTTCCAACCCAAAATTAAAAACCCACAACCCTTTTAAAACAACTATATTTTTTCTGTAGTAGCCAAGTACACTACAAGACATGTGCCAAATTGTTCCCATCTTGCATGTAAAATGTATTTTTTCTGTAGTAGCCAAGTACACAACCTATGTGGGTTGTCTTGAATTGTTCCCATCTTGCATGTAAAATGTATGCATAAATTGGCTAGACTACTTCACTAATTAGAATGCATAATAAATTTAGATGTAAAATGCAAATGCATATTCTAAGGAAAATTGATCTAAATACTAGATGTGGTACATACTTACAAGATTGACAAGGAAAGCCAAAACAACTACGTCTAGACTACACTAATATTGTCCCCTCACAACCACCTATTGCAAGATAGGGTTTTATCACAGAAAGAACCGATGTTGTTAGGAATGGAACCACACACTTATATATTGTATTTTATTTTCTCAATTCCCCAATGTTGAACTTATATTCAACACTTCCCTTCACGTGATTTCACCACATAGTGGGCCACAAGTGCAACCAATCCCACAACGGACCATTAAGCGTGGAAGCATGGTGTTACATTAAATCAGTAACTCGGGCACGACTAGAACCCACAAGACCCACAATCTAAACTGCTCTGATACCATGTCAGATATTAAGATAGACGAGCTATTGCTCCAACTTAACCACCTATTATTAGGTATTGAATTTTTACCACAAAAGGCCTCAATGTTATTAGGAGTGAAACCATACACATATATTTCATTTTCTCAATTTCCCAATGTGAAACTTAAATTTTAACACCTTGTAATGCAAAATCAAATTGCAAATGTGTATAAGCTTGAAAGTTGTGAAATTGATGCAACTCATTGCATTTCTTCCTTCTTAGAGAACTTGAGATTGAAGAATATTACAGAAACGAGAGATACCTTTTGTTGCAGGAAAAAAGGCAAATCTTCCAAATCCTCACCATTTATCTCTCTAAACAGAGGAGACGGGGTCACGGGGATTCGAATTAGTAAGAAGAACTCAATACTCTAGCTAGCTACACTAAGCCTAGGTGTGCAGATTTTCTCCAATTTAAAATATAAAAACAAATGCAACCTTCCAAATCATCCCGTTCTTAATGATAATCTAATATTGGAAAAAGAATGAATCTTGCTTATGTTTACAAGTGATTGGTCCAATTCCATCTTACTATTGCTCTAATATATCTTGTTTTTATGTTTCAGTAAATAGGTTATAAGTGCATAATGACTTTTTTAATAAAAGCTGTTTCTTTAATGCAGATAGTGCTTTACCGTAATGGCAGAAAACAATAATGCCTATGCTCCTTGATGCGGGTTCAATTCTCACCAATCATCTCCTCCTAACATTTAACAATTTAGCTCCACTAACGCTATCGTTTAATAAAATTTGAGAGAGCGGTAACAACAACCAGAAGAGTCACCAAAATTTGAGCAAGGAGCGGCAAAGAGGGCACTCAAACAATTTCCTCTCACTGTTTTTTTAATCAAATTCAAATCCAACAGCTGTACTTCTGGAGTTTCAAACCAAGGTTAAATTAATTATACAAAAAAAAAAAAAAAAACATTTTACCATGGTTCTACAATGATATAAGGCCCTATTTTGGTTTTCACAATTGAATGCCTAAAAATTCATAACAAAAAACTGTTTCGATAGTACTAAAATAAATTCAAAACAAAGTGCACCCAAGTTCAATTCCATGGTACAAAATCTATGAACACTTCCTCTTCCAAAACACCGCATACACAATAGAGCCAATCCATGCCGTCCCTGAAGTGAATTTCTCGACATCTTTCTACAAGAAACCAAATGGAACCATGATTTGAGAGCTCACACATCACGTGCAAAATGCACCTACCACCCTTCATGCAGACACTTTGTTTCGTTCAGCTGGAAACTTTGGCGGCGACCTTTCCTTGAAACCTATCATCTTATTCAATGCACCGATGTAGGCCTTGACACTAGAGACAACAATATCCATTCCTGCCCCAATTCCACTGCCACCAGAGGACAATACAGAATTTCATACTGTTGCTAGGCGAATAGAAGAAGGTATTTGAAAAAAACAGCTGACTTCTAGACACCAAACCTGAATGTCCGCTGGACTGATTCTCCAGTTTGAGCATGAGTAACCGTATGACTGTTTTCCAGTCGGATTACCACACGAGTAGTGGCAATTGCATCAATTCCTTCTGTTACCGCATTCATAGAGTACTCAACCAGCGTTACCGGTTCCTGCTATGCAAAGAGTCAACAAACTGTTTTACAACACACAGGCAGTTAATGTTGTGGTAGCACATGTACAGCTTATGGGAAAATAAAGTTTCACAATATAAACAAATTCAACGATAAGTTGTGTGATCATCATCGTCCATCATTCATCTTCAGTGACAAAATTTTTTAAATCATAAACTCATCGAAGCAGACACGGCAAGCTAGAAAATTGTCTTCAACAGTAGTACAAGTATATTGCAACAAAAAAATTTCAAGCATAAAAAGTAAATAAAATTGCAGTGGTGAAAACTAATGGTCTTATCAAACCTTCACAATCAGATCAACAGCCTTGTAAGCTGAATCTACGGGACCTGTTCCAACTGAACATGCCACATGTTCTCTCCCATCAGCATCAATTAGTTTAACAGTTGCTGTAGACAGACCAAGAGTTCCACAGGTAACCTGACCATCCACAGTCCAAGTACATTAGAGATGATTAACTCTTTATAACTCATGGGGCGGAAAATGAACATGGAAAAACACTATCTCGAAAAACCTGTAGATCATGAAGCTTCCAGACAACTTCTGGCTGAAAAACTTCATCTCGCACCAATGCTCCGAGATCTGCATCAGTTATACTCTGGGATACCAACAGTTCAAAAAATGAGTTCAAACAAGAATATCTTGATGCACCAAAACAGGATATAAATATGTTAAAGATTGATATGTGTCAGAGTTTATTCGGTCAAAAATCCATCTTCGCTGCGCATCTGAATCAATTCGACAGTTCCCATGCAGATTCCAATGTTTCAGAGTCTCGTCTTTCAAGAAAAAAAATTACCATACGTCGACAAAAGAGGAATTCAGGAGAGGGAATAACTCATCTGACAAGAAGTTTACTGTCTTAATGGTGTTTGCGTAGGATTTTTTAGGAAAATTAAAATAACAAGCAATATCTTTTGAGGTTTGACCACTCTTTACTATGCTGGTCCATACCACCAAAATATTGGCCTATATTTTCGTTTATGGGCAGGACACACCAATATTAGAGTAGCTTATTCAAAATTAAGGTTTACTATTGTACCAGTTGAAACACAGGTAAGCCTTGTTTTCCCAATATTCACCGCAAAATCTTCAATAGCAAGAAATGCATTGGTAGCAGCAGAGCAAACAGGCACTAGATATTGTATAAATTACTTGTTAGGCAAGCAAATGGTGAAGGTGATTTTCTCCTCTACGGGCTTATTAGATGATATAGCGATATCCTTAATTTTACAACAATGAGATGAATTTGTCAGTGTCCAATAGCAATCAACCCAAAACTCTCCCATATGATGGTCTTGCTTAGGTGCCAACGGTACAAACAATTTCACCTATAGATGTTATATATTTATCATGGATGGACAGCTTAAATAGCTTACAGGTTTGATCAATGCATTATTATTGATTCAGCATTTCCCAAGACTTTACTCACAGTTTTCTCAGTTTACAGCAATCTTCTGTTGTTTCTGTAATATTTACCAATATTCACTTAAACATGGATGAACAGTAAACCCCAACTACCAATATTTGTACAAGATCAACATTTTCATCCTTGCAGTTTACAAGTTACCATATAAGAGAAGCATACGTATTAAGTAAACATGGGGATACTGTTACACCTTTAAATTTACCTTTTTCTGTTCGGCTACAGCTTTGAAACGCTCGAATATAGTAGCAAGTTGATCATTCTCAAGCTCATAGCCAAGCTACCAATAGTAAAGAAGAGCATAAGGGAGGTGCATGAATGAAACTAACAAATTTAATAGATATACGTTGCAAAGAATGAGACTCATTGCATACCTCTGCAAGTCGGTTTCTCAAAGCATGACGTCCACTGCAGAAAAAACATTACACCCAGAACAAAAAGGAAACAAAAATTTACTATTTTGAGGGAGTAAACGAGTTATCACACGTAAAAATAAGTAAATTCCAATAAAGTAAATGACTGTTCATCCATGTTTAAGTGAAAAAAAAAAAAACCAAATCATGCTTTTTGTCTTATTGAATAACTAGCAGAGGCTTCAAGATTCTTAATGAGCTCATTCTTTCTTGATAGATCTTGAGCTTTGGCTACACTAATATTTCCCCAAGAAATAGAAGCACAGTACATTAAGAGAATAAAGGGCATGTTAGCGCA